TGATCTTAGAATCTGTAATAATATAGAGAGATCTTGTCTATCTATTCATATAACTGGTAAAACAAATCTAATGTGAATAAGGGTAGCAACGGCATGAATATATTGTTTGCCTTTTGTTTTTCACTTGAGATATTCCGGAATAAAATGGCATACGATTTGTTTGATACTTGTTTTTAGTTCTGAATCAAGAAGCTGTATAACTAAAATTGCACCTTGCATTAGGCTGCGTGTCTGTTTCAGTTTAGAGATGGAAAGAAATAACCAGCGGCAGTGCCTCAAATTGCTACACAAATTCTAGTCTGTTTCGGACCATATTAATATGGAGGATAAGTCTTGAAAATGAAATGGCCGTGTATATTTGATGTTTAAGGAAATAAAAACTGGCTCTTCAAGGGTTGTAGATGTAGTTTATCACAGAAATGATGCCTAAAAAGATTTCGATAGTAACTCAGTTGTTGGGTATGAATAAGCAATAATTGAATCACACATAGAGCTTGAATTTTGGCATTAACATTGTATCACACAGAGTGCTTGACATTTTTTCTGGATTCTGAAATTTTTAACAGCAGTTGTCAGGATTCTGATAATCATAAGTTCTTTTCTGAGATTCTGAGTGTTTTACGGTCTAGTAGAGATAATACAAGTGATGGTGCATTTTCCCCATTGAATAATACAAATATATAGCACTGTCCAAATTAAAACAAAAAAGTCTGTTTATAATAGTGAATAAAGCTCTGTTTCATTTTTCTTGCAATTTTGAAATATTTACCAGTGAAGAGCTACAATAGATCCTGAATAGTTTTTATGTTTCCCTTTCTTGTTTTTTGGCAAACCATTACTAACATACTTTTCAGTCCAGTTATCTTTTCTTTTCTTTTTTTTTTGCCCAGTTGTTCCAAGATAAGATAGCTTTCTGAAGGCCTTCATATGCTTTCAAGAGAATCTCTTCACACAGTTCTTCCCTAACATAAGCTGTCCTTTCTATCTAAAACTACAAGCATTTTTTATCTGTATGTTGGCATCAGAATATGCTTGGAACAACCTGTTTCTCTTGAAACTTAGAGGTGAAGATAAGAAACTGCTTGATGTATCAAGTGAGTACAGTACAACATTACCAAAGCCATCTTTTCTTTGGCACTCATATAGACTAAAATGCATTGAAAAGACATTCACTATTTCTTCTCCTGTCCCCAAAAGTACCAACAATGTAGCGGTGACTACATGGCCATTTATCCTGCTGTTTAGTCCACTGCAGAGATTGGTTTGGTCCTGAAGCAATCAAACAGTGTCTTTGCAGGAGTGAACAGTCCACTCACAGAGTATTCCTAAGAACATCTTTATAGGTCCCTGTCAGAGGCTTCTACTGGAGGAAATATCGCCCTGTTTTGGTTCATTTCTAGTGCATGTGATCACTGGATGTGAATCAAAGAGAGCCAGCGAGTTGGAGTTTCCTGTCAGCTGCTTTCAATTTCCCAAATCATTTCTAGTTTAAAGAGATAGTTTAACCGCTTAGCCTGTTTTCCCAAAAATAAGACCTAACCTGAAAATAAGCCCTAGTATGATTTTTCAGGATGCTCGTAATATAAGCCCTACTCTAAAAATAAGCCCCAGTTGAGTGAAACCCCGGCCTCCACCATTGTGCAGCAATCAGAGGATGACATGAGTATACAGTGGTGCCTCACTTAATGAGCGCCCCGTTTAATGACAAATCCGCATAGCGACGTGTTTTTTGCGATCGCTAATGCAATCGCATTGCGATGTTTTAGGTGGCAAAACATCGCATTGCGATGATCGGTAAACGTTTCGCTTACCGATCTTCGCATTGCGATGTTAGGGAAACAGCTGATCGGCGGTTCCAAAAAGGCCACTGGATCAAGAAAATGCCCGCCCGCAGCGTTTTTGCGGCCTGCCCTCGCTTACCGAGGCGGCGAAAATGGCGGCCGGATGGGGAATCTTCGCTTACCGGTGAGTTTTCCTCCCATAGGAACGCATTAAACTTTTTCCTGGAACGGATTAACGTCGCTATGCGGGGCACCACTGTATTTGAATCAATGTAGATTACTGTACATGAAAAAAATAAGACATCCCCTGAAAATTAGCCCTAATGCGTTTTTCGGAGCAAAAATTAATATAAGATCCTGTCTTATTTTCAGGGAAACGGTAATTTTATGAGGCAGTTGTGAAATTAGAATTTTTCTCTGCTCATGGAGCAGAGGGAGGAAACAAAACTTTTCTAAATCCACTTATGCCATCACCAAGGTTCCCACTAAGCTGGGTGCATGCACATGACTCCACTTCCCTTCGTACAGCTGTCTTCCTCTGAGCAATGATCACATTAGGATCCAGTTGCAGTTGAACCTGGCGTGTGGGGGAGGCAGAATCGTACCACATGCAGTGATGCAGTTGTGCGAGAGAGAGAGAGATAGAGAGAGCTCCACCCAACATAGAGGGTATATTGGCCATTACTGATGCACTGTACTTTTTCGAGAGAATTTTTTGAAATAATGGCTATTTCCTGGAAGTAGGAAGGGGCAAGGAGGGTTTTTTCCTTTTCTTTACACCTTTTATGTCTGTGGTAAAGCTATTTGGCTTCCTGGGCTGCAAAGAAAATTAAAAACCCTTCACTTTGCCTCCTCCTATCTCTTCCTGCTTCCATGAAGAAGTCTTCAATTTTAAAAAAATTCTCTTAAGACGTAAAGCAGGCCAAATAGGGCTGCTATGCCATGGGATGTAATGATCGCAGCACATGGCATACATGGATCTGGACTTAAGCAACCCTGCTAAGCTCAGTCCAGCCAAGTTATGTAGGCTAGCCATGTATTTCTCTTCAGATGCTGAAATAAAAATTAATATTTCACCAGCTGAAATTCTGTTGTTTTGTTAAGAGGAAGACCAAAAGTTTGTTCCTAGCTGGCATTCTGCACCATGCAATAAGCGGGTCTAGGTACCCCTGGAAATCAAAACACAGACTCATAGGAATGATTGAATGTTACAACTTTTTGTATAATAAAACAGCAGGATTTCAGTCACTGATGCTACAATATAATTGCAAAGTAAGAGTAAAGAAGTAAAGGTTTATTCTGTGGACTTGTCTTTATGCTTTTGTGTTTCTACGTCCACCATTTTAGTCCTGATTTCCTGTTCATTGAGGGCCCATGTCTTTGATCTGTACCATTAAGATAATTTTATTTTAATAATTTTTGCTTGTTTTGTCTTCAAATGTTGCTCCGGTTCTCTGTAAATTTTATTCCCTACTCCCTTATCTCTTGTAAATAAATCTACCTCCTTGTTAAGATTTCCTTTGTCTTATGTTATAAATAGTCTTGCTACCGTATCCAGCATGCCTCTTGGTTCATTGCTACTCTTTAATGGTTTTGGACAAAGATCTCTCTAAGGAGCATGGCTGAGCATGCGTGGGACTCCACATCATTCTGTGCTGCCCCTTTGGTTCCAATCATGACAGAACCTTGTGCATGCATGGGGCAGAGTCATGCGCACATGCAAGGGAGTAAAAATGTTCTTAACGCGAGCCGTTCTTAAGTCAAGACCCCACTGTAATTGCAAAGTAAGAGTAAAGAAATAAAGGTTTATTCTGTGGACTTGTCTTTATGCTTTTGTGTTTCTACATCCACCATTTTAGTCCTGATTTCCTGTTCATTGAGGGCCCATGTCTTTGATCTGTACCATTAAGATAATTTTATTTTAATAATTTTTGCTTGTTTTGTCTTCAAATGTTGCTCCGGTTCTCTGTAAATTTTATTCCCTACTCCCTTATCTCTTGTAAATAAATCTACCTCCTTGTTAAGATTTCCTTTGTCTTATGTTATAAATAGTCTTGCTACCGTATCCAGCATGCCTCTTGGTTCATTGCTACTCTTTAATGGTTTTGGACAAAGATCTCTCTAAGGAGCATGGCTGAGCATGCGTGGGACTCCACATCATTCTGTGCTGCCCCTTTGGTTCCAATCATGACAGAACCTTGTGCATGCATGGGGCAGAGTCATGCGCACATGCAAGGGAGTATTCAAGAGAGAGGCAGAGCCCTGTCCAGCAGGGCTGAAAATTAGAGGGTACAGTGGTGCCTCGCTTAACGATTTTAATTGGTTCCGAAAAATTCATCGCTATGGGAAGACATTGCTAAGCGAAACACGGTTTCCCATAGAAATGCATTGAAAACCGTATAATCCATATGGGAACAGATTGCCGTCCTTAAGCGAAAATCGCCATAGGAAACATCGCTAAGCGAAACGCGGTTCCCCAATTGAAATGCATTGAAACCTATTCAATGCATCTCAATGGGAGAAAAATTACAACAAATTTAAAAAGAGTCGGAACAAAGTCAAATTACTTTAACAAAGGATTTATTAAGTGCTCTTATGATTTCAAGCATTCTAAACATTTGTAAACATATAAAAACAGCCAACATGAGGCTGTCAAAACCATCTTTAAGCGAAACAGGGGGACCCAAACTGTCATTGCTATCCGAAGCATGGCCCCAAACATCGCTATGCGAAAATCGCCCATAGGGAACATCATTAAACGGAGCAGAAGATCGCTCCGAAAAAGCCATCGCTAAGCAAATTCATCGTTAAACAAAGCACTCATTAAGCGAGGCACCACTGTACATTGGTTTTGCTTCATGGATACAGAGGATATAGGTTTGGCTTTGTTTTCTTAGTTTTTTAGGGGCATCCTGTAAAGTCTAGTGATCCCTTGACCAAGGCTGAGTGCATAGAATGGATGGTGGCAGGCCAGTTTGCAGGGCCATTGTTAGCCTGTTCAATATTTTTGCCACTGCTCGGTCATGCGCCGTGGACAGTAAGTGTTCAAAATGCACCTGTTGTTAATGGATTCACAATTTTTTACAGTCTTTGTACATTAATGACAGTGGCTATGATGTTGCTAACTGGGAGTAGGTGAAAGTTGGGTTAGATTGAACAACACACTTGCATTAAGCAAATTTTTGTTCAGTCTTTTATTCCATTTTGTTTGTTTTTCAGTACCCTTGATATGACAGACCCAGATGTTCTCACTGAAGTTCCAGCTGATCTGAAACGTCTTGCCAAGTATGTAGTACGTGGCTTCTATGGCACTGAACATGCCTTGGCTCTGGATATTCTGATTCGAAATCCCTGTGTCAAAGAGGAGGACATGTTGGAGTTGCTGAAGTTTGATCGAAAACAGCTGCGAGCCATTCTCAACACTCTTAAAGGTGACAAGTTCATCAAATGTAAGATGAGAGTGGAGACTGCCCCAGACGGCAAAACCACCCGACACAACTTCTATTTCATCAACTACCGCTTGTTGGTCAATGTGGTGAAATATAAACTAGATCACATGAGAAGGAGGATTGAGACAGACGAAAGAGACTCCACTAACCGTGCCTCCTTCAAATGTCCTATTTGCTTTAGTACTTTCACAGATTTAGAGGCAAATCAGCTGTTTGATACTCGGAAAGGTAAGGTCCAGGCGTTCAGTTGACAACCCAAATGGGCTTAGGTACGTCATATGGTTCTTTATGAGGGTGGGGGAGTGATAACAGATGCTATTTGGGTTCTTAGGAGACTAGATCACAAAAGAGTAGCCGCATTCCATTTGAATACTATACGAATTGGAGATGTAAAGTAAGACTGTTGTTGTGAACAGTTAATGGAAATTTATTTCATGCTTAAGGAAGAATACTTAAGGGATCATCATGGAGCCTCTTTAGTGTCATTAAACTAAAAGAACTGTAATAAATGGAAGATCTTGCAGATGGACCAGCCATTTTGCCGCCAGCAGTCTTGTATGGAGTCCTACAAGTGTAGTACTTTGCCAGTGGGTTGTCCTGTAGGATGGGTGTTTTTCAAAAGTTGCTTGCGATGATGAGGGAACCAGTATCTCATGGGGTTTGGAGATTATACTTCTGTTAATGCATCCTAAAATAGCATTTGCAATCAATAAGTTGAGAGTAGTCACAAAAAAGGCTGAACATGATGCACAGGTCAAATCCACAAAATAGCTTTTTAGGAATTTGCTACAGAAAGCGCCACAAATCTTTTGCTGAGGGTAACTTGGCAGCTTGTCATTTGGGGAATGTGCTTTCTTAACCATTAAAAGCAAATGTTGCTTGTAGAATCACTGTATGATGAACATTTTATCCTGGCACCCTATTGCTGAGGTTATGTATAGTTGACATAAGAGCTACAAGCCAAATCCAGGCCACAGAATCTTTTTTTTGCCCCAGACATCCTAGAGGTCATAGTTCTACATGCCCCATGAAATGCCTTGGAAGCCTGGATGCATCCAAGCATATTTCTGGTATTTAGTGTAAATAAATTAAATATATTAAGAGAATAAGATTATTTATAGGATTAAATATTAAATATGTGGTTCAAATATCAGATTTTTTTTCTGTTTTAGTAATAGGAAGGAAGGAAAGGTGGATTTTTTACAGGAAGTGCTTGTTCTTCAAATCTTTCTTATGCCTGTCCTTAGCAGCTTCTCTCTTTTTTAGGAATTTTTCGTTGTACTTTTTGCGAAACAGAAGTAGAGGAAGATGAATCAGCAATGCCAAAAAAAGATGCACGGACACTTGTGGCACGCTTTAATGAACAGATAGAACCGATCTATGCACTGCTGCGTAAGACTGAGGACATTAACCTAGCCCATGAATTACTTGAGCCTGAGCCTATGGAGATCCTTGCCCTGAAGCAGAGGTGGGTCTGGATGCTGAATGTTCTGTACATTGGGCAGGTCTCTTGGTATTCTTCTTGAAACATGTTTTTTTTTAATGATGTGGCTCTGCATATATTAGAAGTAGACCACATTGATTTGTCCCGCAGTGGTAACCAAGTGTTGGATTCTACTGGCCAGCTATGCAACCAGATTTCATTGTGATAGGAATATAGAATTGTGTGCATTTATCAATACAGACATTTCCTCATGAATTTATAATTCAGGCTTCACTATACATTTAGATGGAAACATATTCCTTTTAATTCATTGGGGACATCTGAGCAGAAAGGAATCGGATTCTGCTCTCAGATTTAATGTGTTATTTCTATGGTAGGAAAATGACCCAGTTCAGCTGCTGTTGATGGTATGTCCTCATCCAACATCTAAAATTATATATCTGTGTGTTGTCCTTGAATGTATTCATATGGTATTGAATACATCTGTGAGTCTACCATAGAAACTTCTATTATCAAAGATGCAGGACTAAACATCTCTAGCTTTCCAGCTCTGAACAAAATCTTTGAGTTACTCCTGGTGAAATCTAACACCATTCACCAGCTGATGAGCCCCGTTTTATTCTCTGCTTCCTATCTCTTACATATCCCAAGACAACAAGCATTACTTTTGTAATATCTTGCTTAATGCTGATCTCAAGCTTGCATACATTTTGCCTTTTTTGTTGGCCAATAAAAGTATTACCTTAGTATGATTTTTGGAATTTGTTTTGTTCCAACATGGATTCCCTGTACAGTATTATTTTTATGTACACATGAAATCTTCTGTTTTAATCTGTGATTCATCCAATTATTTTTATAGCTTTTGTCCTTTTTACATTTGTAGGATGTCTTGCAAATCTCAATTCAAATATGCATGTCTTGTACAAATGGAAGTATTAAGAAATACTTTTGTATTGTTGTTTTCTGATATGGAGCTCAAAGTGTGGGAACACATGAATTGTGGCCTATAAAATTACAGCTTAAATTTTGTCTAAAATGTTTTACTACAGATTTAAGGGGAAAATAATCCATTTTTAGAGGAAACCTTTGACACAGTAGAAATTAAACATTTTGTGTTAGAGCTCCTATAAAATTACAGCTTAAATTTTGTCTAAAATGTTTTACTACAGATTTAAGGGGAAAATAATCCATTTTTAGAGGAAACCTTTGACACAGTAGAAATTAAACATTTGTGTTATGATTTCAGTTCTGTGCATATTTCTCTGTGAGAAATCTCAGTTGAAATTGTTCCTTATTTGCAAATACTAAGATTTGTATTTCCTCATAACTTTCTGAGTGAAGGATCAGAATGCACTTAAACTAACAGATAAAGGCAGAGATTATAGGGATCATTTCCTTGGAGAAATCAGGACCAGAATCTGTGATTAATTGCTTTGTAATATGTATGGAAGCACATGGTGGATTTCATATATATTAATGCTGCGTAGGTTGCAGAATTTTCTCCAATCCTAGCCAAACTTGAATTCCATGTTCCTTGGCTTTCCATTTCAAAAATTAGTGTGCATTCCATAAATTTATTTCATAAATAAATATAATAATAAATAAAATGAAACCACATATTCTCTCTGTGAGTTATGGAGATAAATTTCTAAAATGTAAGTACATGAACAACATAGGTAAAGGTAAAGGTTTCCAAGCCGTAGAGCCAGTGTTTGTCCATAGACAGTTTCCGTGGTCACGTGGCCAGCGTGACTAGACACGGAGCTCTGTTACCTTCCCACATTGGTGGTACCTATTTATCTACTTGCATTTTTACATGCTTCCAAACTGCTAGGTTGGCAGGAGCTAGGACAAGTGATGGGAGCTCACTCAGTCACGTGGATTCGATTTTACGACTGCTGGTCTTCCGACCTTGCAGCACAGAGGCTTCTGTAGTTTAACCCGCAGCACCACCGCATCCCACTTGAACAACATGCATGAAAGCATTTTGTGTTCTTGTGAACAGGACTCTCTCCCTTGTGGTGGTGTGTTCTCTGTGTTTTGACATCCAATTTTACTAAGTTCTCCAGTCAGGTTTTAAAAAAGTGGAATTAAATTTATACTGCTTTTTTTTCTTCATTCCTTAGCCTATATGTGAATTCTTCATGCACATGCATCACACACACAGAGAGAGAGAGAGTGTATATGTCATCAAAACATTACTTTCCACATAGATGCAAGCTTTATGATTTATTCATATTTTAAAATCCATTAATTTGGTAGTGTGCTTTATAAATGCAGTTAGTGTTCTGCCATATTAAGGCAAAGGTAAAGCTGCCACCTAAATTTTGTTATTGCATGTATTCACAAAAATGCACACCTGTTTTTATGTTGCAATGTCCATATTAGCAGTGCATGTGTTATATGATTTTATGCAGCAAGGAGCGGGCAGTTGGTGCACTGGGGAGCAGTGGCCTTCCAAGTGGACAGCACAGGGAAGCGTGGACTACAAAGGGACCTTCTTATGAGGATTTGTACACCCAGGATGTAATAATCAGTATGGAGGACCAGGAAGATCTGCAACAGCCAGCAAATGAAGGGAAGGCTCCCAGAGAGAGACCTGTTTGGCTGCGGGAGAGCACAGTGCAGGGTGCTTATGATCCTGATGAAGTCAAAGATGGTAAGAAAGGATAACTCATCTGGAATACAAAAAGTCCCTCTGTATGACAGAATGCATTCTAAATCCTGGTACATAGGCACATGCAGCCCAAACACCATTCTCATTTTTGGAGCTTAGAAAGTTACTTTTTAAAATTAATCAATCAGTTGCATTTTCAGCAATATAGTTACAAATTACAGAGTAACTCCTTCCTTTTTCATTTCTCAGAAATAATTCTGAATAATTCAGAATTCTGGCTGGGACATGCTTGAATCAGAGTAAAAAAAATGAATGGCAGATCTCTGGTGCTTATCCTGAAAAACACAGATATATGAAATGTTTCGTTGCAATCAGTAGTGTAGCCTGTAAAGTGAGATGATACAGTATAGCATCTGTGATATGCATGAAGTGCTTTAAGCACTCTAAAACCACTTCATAAATGTGCTGCATACCATAAAAGGTTGCCTGCAATACTCTGTCACCCCTGGAACGCATATTTTTAAAAATAACCAGAAAGGATAGCCACTTGGGATGGGCCGTTCAGAATTCTTGATGACTCTGTAGGCTCGCCTGGACCAGGGCCTACCTTGGAGGCTTCATGGCTGTCTTTGTCCTGTATTTCCTGTTGTTAATGTACCAAAAAGAAAAGTGGTGCTTTTTGGAGTTGTAGTTCCTTGGGAACCTCTATAGCAGTGGCCCCCAACCTTTTCCCACCTACAGACTGGTGGGGGAGTACAGGGTCCATGCGCAGGGGGACGGGACACACCTGTGCTCGCGGGAAGAGCATGCATATGCATGGGGGGGTGGGGCACACTCGTGGGTAGGTGGGGCACTCGCGGGGGCGGGGCATGCTCGTGTGCATGCGCAGGGTTGCAGGCACACTCGAATGCATGCACGGGGGGCGGTAGATCTGTCTCCACATCCCGGTCCTGTCAGGGCCACAGCCCTCTACTGGGCTGTGGACCAGGGGTTGGGGACCCTTGCTCTATAGATCCTAAAAGGCAGCAAGACTACAACTCCCAAAAAGTATTTATTTACTTATTTATTTATTCATTTCATTTCATTTCATTTATACCCCGCCTATCTGGTCGATTGTGACCACTCTAGGCGGCTTACAACACACACTATAAAAACAGTTAGGCATGTAACTTAACATAATTTGCATATATGAAAAGAAATAATTTTTCCCCAAAGATGGCAAGAAACAGAGTATATTGTAACGAAATAAGAAAGAAAGAATAATTAGGAGTTAACTGGAAGGGGGGAAGGCCCCTTCCTGTAGCAGCTTCCTTTGCATAGTTGATTGCTACTTTGTAGCAAAGCTTTACTCTGTATAAAAACTAGAATCTTGGAGAAGCTAGGCTAAAATTCTTCTCCTTGATGATATTCTAGGTTTCTGTGAAAGAGTTTTTTCTGTATCACTCCATCACATTCACTCTTACTTGCAAGGTGAAATGATCTAATCCAGTCAAAGGTTGATGACTTTAGTGAACATTAGTCCTTCTTCGATGTCCTTATTTCAGGAACTGATTTCAGTGCCTTCATACCATTAAAATAAATTCACTATCTCAGCTGTAGTTTGTAAAGCTTATCTGTTATTTATATTTCACATGAGACCGATTTGTTTCTGCCAGGTGGTCAAGACATGGATATGTTACAAGAAAGGGAAGATGGCCAGGGTCTCCCAGACAATAATGAAGAAGTGATGCGTGCTCTGCTCATCCATGAAAAGAAAACCTCCTCTGCATCTATAGCAGCTGTGGGAGGAATTGCTCCAGTTTCTAGTACCAATGCTAGTGATTCTGAGAGTGAAACAAGTGAATCAGATGATGACTCTCCTCCCCATGTTGCCAATGCTGCAACAACACATTACAGTCTGCCAGAAGAGGATGATGATGATGAGTTTGAGGTAGAGATGGAGGACCCCACTGTCATGGTGGCAGGACACCCATTTTCTTATAGTCAAGTAACCCAGCGGCCTGAGTTGGTGGCTCAGATGACTGTGGAGGAGAAAGAGCAATATATAGCTATGGGCCAGCGTATGTTTCAAGACATGTTTGACTAGCTTCCTGTTGGCTGGCAATCGCATACAGATGAACTACAACTTCAAATGCTGGAAGAGAGTAAAGGTCTGAATTATATCTCCTGCCTTTTCATTCAGTATAATTGTTTTTCAAACCCACACAACAATTATTGAAAATCAAAGGACCAGCCAAAAAGCATACTCTTTCTGCGTTTTTGTCACACACAGTCTCCGTAGTCTACCTGCTTCTAGATCCTGTCTGTTATCCTTGCTTTTGATCTCATAAGTTTTGGGTTGCTAGTTTTTCTGTCTTGAAAAGTTTATTATTTATGTGAATTTATTAGCATCTCAGAGTGATCTCCAAGAATACAGCATCTCCAAAACTAGTACCAGAAGATGTTTGTTTCAGAATTCCACATGATCCAGGTGTCTATACTAACAGCCTTACAAGCATTGTGTAAACAAACGTAAGATGTTTATGCACACACAAATACACACTAGCTTCCCGTGTATGCTTTTTATGTAAAATAGAATCTAAAGCCAAAGGAGAACATATGTGCTATCATGTTAACAAATGGGTATTTGGCTGCTGTTCCAAGATAATTTCTTGGATAAGAACATTAACAAAAGGCCAGTAGGCATGTTGTTTACTGTTTAATAGGAGGATGGTGCCCATAAAAATGTCCTCTGACTGAGTCCTGATAAAGCAGTCTAGTGAATTGTGGTTTTCATCAGATACTTCTTTTATAGGTCAATGACTCTTTATTTCCTATTGTGAGCAAATTCCTGTCTTTTCATGCAATCACCTGCAATGCTATAGTTTTTAAATGAGAAGATTCAACTTTAAAATGTAGTCTGAGTTTAGTTTTCCTCTCTCCTCTGGAAATTCTTGTATACTTCTCATTGATGGACAATCAATATCTCAGAATCAGCACTAAATTCATTCTCATGAAAACCAAAACAAATACATTTCTTGGGTGAGAACACTAGGGATGCAATATGGTTGCCTTTCTTTATCTGTAAATTCTGTCCAGCAGAGTGCATTTGTTCTGAATTAGGTCTGTCATCCAAGTAGCCTGTCAGCAGAGCTATTTTATTTTCACACAAACCCAAAGGATTTTAACATTAAAAAAGAAATTATGCAGAATTTTGTTCAATGCCAGTGTATAGCACGGCACAGTCTCTTTTGATATTTTCAGCAGTGCCTAAACAAGCTAAATCTGTTTTGTAGTGTCATTTTTTTGGAAAATAACTTCTAAAAATCATATTTTTCTTATTTGGCATCACAGTAGACCAGAGTAGAAAAGTCTTGAACATTTCTGAGCTCTAGCATCTGCTGCAAATTTTATTTTAATTTACTGAAATGGGACAAGTTATTGGGCTAGTGAATTGTAAAGCTAGTGTGTATTGACCATGTATGTTTTGCTATGCCTGTGAGGTTTCTTTTGCAAATTTATTTTCCGAGACTGTGATACTGTTGAAATTCGTTTCTTCCCTCTTGTAATAAAAAGGAACCAATAACATGACACTTCTCAACCAATGCTATTGATTTTTCAATCATTAATACACAAGTTGGAGCAGCTGTTTTAATTTTATTTAATTAACTTAATGGATGATGCTTGTGAAGAGCTCTCAGTTCCCTTCATTGAAGCCTTCACAGCTGTTCACTACACATTGCCAAAATCTGTCTCCAGCACAACATATACTGAATACATGGTCCTTAGCCTGCATGTATATCAAGACCCACATATGTCTGTCAGGAGTTACTGGATTCAAATATCTTTTTACAGGTGGACTTTTGGGACAACTTCGCCAAGTTTCTGGTTGAGATGATTTGGCAATCAGATACATCCCCACAGTTTGTGTTCTTTCCTCTCTCCTAAGGGCAAAGAAGCAAACCTAAGGGAACACTTCTGACCATGAAATTAGAAGCCTTGGTTTAGCATTATATCCACAATCAAACAGTTATTATTCACACAATAAAGAAACGACAGCAGTTTAAGGTTGTAAAGCAATATGAATGGTGAAAGTGGATGTCTCAACATTTTGTACATAAAGACCGTGAAGACATATTAATAACCAGAAAAATATTTCATAGCTGCCATGTCTGATAGTTAATTTGGATTCCATCCTGGGAAACATCTTTCTTCTTGGGAGACTCAATAATGAAATCAACAGTTTTATATTTATTAATTTCATGGAATACTCAGTTTACTTAATTTCTAGATTTGAAATCTCAGGTTGTTGCCCAGTATGTAATGGTTTATTCTCCATCTGCCTCCTGGCATTATTATGAGAGAGATTTTCTTTTAGAAAACAGCTTTGTAAACAAAAGTAGCCGTTGCCATTCTGGCCATTAGATATTATACCTTGTAAAAGAGGGTGATATTTATGAACCACATTCCTCAAATGGAAATGCTTCTTGTTTTAGTAGCTTTCAATGGAGAGAGAGAGTGTGTGTGTATGTTTGTGCATGCACACACACACACCCCTCTACACACCTTCAAGGAAAGCGAAGATGGAAGTGGGAGTGAAATCACACCATGTGTGTGTGTATGTTTGTGCACGCACACACACCTTCAAGGAAAGTGAAGATGGAAGTGGGAGTGAAATCACACCATTGCTCTTTCTGACCATAAATAGAATTCTTTTGTGTTTGTAGTTTACAGTTAGTAGCAAAATAAGCCTTATGACATAACTGGAATGTGATGCATAATAATCCAGCTGAGTAAGGGCATTCCTGGCATGGCTGTTCTGTCCTAGTAAATGAGCAATTCCATTTGTGTGGGACGTTGGCAGGAATAAGATACATAAGAAGTTGCCCAGCAGAAAGTTCTAATGCAACATGAGTAATCTCTTAATTTGATTCCAAGAAGGATTAAAAAAAAAAAAAAGATGAAGCTGTGCTGATTAGCCCAGCAAACTGTACTATTCTCCCACCCCCCCAATATGGATCAAACAGTGTACTTGTTTGTCTGGGGGGAAAATCTGTGGAGGAGTTGGAAAAGACACTGTAAATCCAAAGCAATTCAGTATAAACCAAGAACAAATGTTTAATTGTTTATTAAATTCAGTGCTTGCTATTCTGTGGCATACTTAGCCAGTATAGCGCTCAAGAACTGGTCGTCCTTATGCAAAATGTCTATACGTGTGATATTTGACATACCACCCATGATGGCATGTGAGGTTGTTTCTGCTACAGGCCAGCCACAGAAAGGCCTGGGTTTTTTGGGGAGGGGAGGGGAAAAGTGAAAATCCTTTAATACAAGATAATTGAAATGTTCCTCGGATTTAAAGAAGGCAATTAGCATGCAGCTCTTAGGAACTTTACAATTATGCCAATCTTGATAGTAGAGTTATCTTTTTTGTCATTTGCAGATTACTGATATTGGTCGTTTGTATTTCCTGCTACCCTAAAAATGTAACAAAATTACTGTCTTGGCAATGGAATATAGATATTTGCTTTGCAATATATTAGTGGATTCTGTATTGTGACATGAAAAGAAGCTCATTAAAAAATTCTGCTTCTTACTGATATATTTCCTTAGAAGTCTTCCTTTGAAAACTTGTCCAGGACTCCCCAAGCACTCAAAATATTTGAATATACCACATAACTTTCTATGTAAAATTTAGGATGTGAAAAATGAGTAGTAGTTGGATCTAAATAATAAGGTCCAGTCCATTGTAATTGGGGGGGGGGGAAGTGATCATGCAGTTTCACTGGGCCACTCAGTTTGGCTTGTAGTTCTAACACAGCCAAAACAAAGCCCGCTGCATAATCATTTCTCACAAAAATAATACAGTGCTTTATCTTTATTTTCTATAGTACTGTGTAAAATCTAACGTGGTGGGATTTTAATTAGAGACGGGTTTTCCTCCTCCTACAACCCCTTACTATTGGCCGTGCTGGTTAGGAAACAGTCCTAGGAGAGAATGGTTGAGGGAATTAGATATGGAAACAGGACAAGAGAAGCAGAGGAGAGGTGATTTGGTAGCCATCTTAAAAAATGTCAAGGATTGTCACACACAGGATTGGGCACAAAAGGCAGGATCTGAAGCAATGCACTCAAGTTACCGGGGGGGTGGGGGAGAGGAATTGGCTCAATATTAGGAAAAACATTTCCTTGCAGTAACATGGCCAGGTAAAAACTACTGCCCTAAGGGGAAAAGCCCCCAAATAGTCTAGTGGGAGCTGAGCCTGCTCATTGGCCACTGTATTCTAAATTAGGGGTTGTCAGCCCCCCGTTCCGCGGCCCAGTGCTGGTCTGTGGGCTTGCTAGAACTGGGTCATGGATATGGATCTCCACTTCCCGCCTGCATGCACGCATGGTGGCCAAGTGGCGCTTGCGTGGTTGGTGTGTCAATGCCTATGGGGGGGTGTTGTGCTCAGGGGGGGTGTCACACTCGCGCCCCCGCACAAGGAGTTCACTCCCCCCCCAAAGGTTTGGGACTGCTGTTCTAAATGATCCAGATCGGAAAAAACTGGAAAACCTTAACTGCAGTGTATACAGGAGGAAGGCAATAGACAGCTGCAGCTACGTGCAGTCCATAAGGTGTACAGTGGGGTCTTCACTTGAGAACTTAATCCGTATTGGAAGGCGGTTCTCAAGTCAAAAAGTCTGTAGGTCAAGTCTCCATTGACCTACAGTGCATTGAAAACCGATTAATCCCATAACAGGCCATTTTTGTTCCATTTTGGGTTTTTTCTGGTCTGTAAGTCAATTCTCAGGCTGCAAGTCAAACCTAAATTTTGCGGCCAGAGAAGTCTGTAACTCAAAAAGTCTGTAAGTCAAGCCGTCTGTAAGTCAAGGGTCCACTGTATACAGGAGGAAGGCAACAGACAGCTGCAGCTACGTGCAGTCCATAAGAAGGGGATTATGAGAGTTGTGTATTAATTGCGTCACTGGAAATATTATGACAGAATCAGGAGTCACTTCATCCTGAGATTCGATTCCACACCATTATGTTAGGCGTTGCTGAAAATGTGTCAAACCTCGGCAGGGAGAACCTTTTGGGTGACCTTTCCAAAGTCTTGCAATTCTCTACCAAGGAAAACTTGGTTGGCTCCCCTTTTATTGTCCTTCTGCCTGCAAGTACTGTTGTGTCTTAGGGTTTTATTGGCATTTCTCTACTGCTCACTGCCGTGAGTACTGAATTTCGTATTTATTTATTTAGTCTCATTTATAAGCTACCTATCTTTCTATAAAAGGACTCGAATGTGCCTCAAAAAGTTAAAACAAGTCAATTTTAAAACAATAATACATTAAAAATAAACTATCACTGTAATTAAATTATTTCAAGTAATGAAAAACATCAACTTTAAAAAAAAATATATGCTGAAAAGCTAAAAACCGATATCCAGTTACTCAATTTAAAAGTTGCATATTAAATTAAAAGTTAAAAGCCTGCCTGAAAAGGTGGAGCTTCAGCTGTCGGCAGAAGGACCAACCTTGTTTCTTCTTCGTGGTGTCCGTGAATGCACACTAATGGATTTAGTGCACCTGCGCAGAGAAACCTCGGAATATTCTAGAGCTTAAGCACATGCTGCCAGGACCTCCCCCACGCTGCCTATAACCCCGCCCCTTTCTTGCCGCCGCTATAGTAGCACCTCAGTTAGGAGCTTTCCCTTTCAAAAAATCCTTACCGTTTTCTTGGACCTCCCGGATTTCTGACTTGGACCGTTCAACGATTCTTCTCCCTGTGAGTTTTAAAAAATAACAACAGACTGTTATTTGATTCTGTGAGAGAGCCGTAAATTTGTTTATGGCCGCTCCAGGCCTCTTCAGGAGGTGTGAGACCTGCTCCAATAAAATAGTCCTCTCAGACCGGCATTCCTGCTGTTTGTTTTGCTTAAGGGAGGAGCACCAGCCGGCTTTTTGTGTGACTTGTAAGAACTTTACAAAGCCAGCTCTTGAGACTTCAGCGTCTCCATTCCTTTTTGTGGGAGAAGTCCCTGTCTCCATCTCAAGGGGGCTCCATGGAATCTGCCCAAGCTTCGGAGCGTTCTCCCATTTCGGGCTCTTCACCTCCTTCTAAGGCCCTGAAAGGACCTAAAATGGCATTGAAGCCCCATGCTTTCTCCTCGGGCTCGAGGTTAACAGCTACGGTATCGACACTGAAGCCTCCCTTGGTATTGATGCCGAAGAAAAAGAGGAAGTCGGCAGCCACACAGAAGCCTTGGTGCACAGCAGAAGAGACCACGCCGTTGCCATTGGCCACTGATAAATCCCGCTGGGAGTCGGTATGCCTTAGCATACCTTTGGGGGACGAGGATGTCTTGCCCCCGATGCCAGAAGCTCCAGTTTCTCCTCCATCTTTTCTGGCATGTCCTTTCTCATTCCACACTGAAAGTTTATATGGTGGCAATAGTGGCTCATCAGCCACACTCTTCAGAAGAAGCAGCTTTGTTCTGCCATCCCACTCTCAAACAATTCTTATGTGGCTTGAAAAACATGTGTCTAGCCTATAAGCCTCCTACCCCACAGTGGTCCCTTCAGCTCATCCTTAATCGCCTCATGAGGCTTCCGTTTGAACCCCTGGCTTCAGCATCTGAATGGCTGCTCACTCTGAAGACTTCCTTCCTCCTTGCTATTACCTCTGCACATCAGACAGGAGAGCTGGCTGCTCTTAGAGGGGACCCTCCTTTCCTTCAGTTCCGCCCGGACAAGGTGACACTCTATCCGGACCTTTCCTTTGTGTCTAAGGTGGCCACCTATTTTCAATTAAACCAGCCTATTGTACTACCTACATTTTCCCCTGCACCGACTTCACGTCTGGAACGTTCTTTGCACTCCTTGAATGTCAAGCGGGTGCTCTCCTACTACGTCTCTCGCTCCTCATCCTTCCGCACCTCAAAGAGGCTGTTTATCAGCTATCAAGGTCACATCCCAGACGATCTCTAGGTGGATTATTTTGACTATCTGACTAGTGTATGAGCTGGCCCAGACGCCCCTGCCACACACTGTGGAGGCCCATTTGACCAGGGCCGTGGCTTCCTCCACGGCATTCTTCAGAGGGGTGGACCTCTCTGACATCTGCAAGGCTGCCACGTGGGCTGTGCCATTTAGCTTTGTGACCCATTATCGACTGGACATCCAGCCCAAGGCTGAAGCCTCTGTGGGTCATGCCGTCCTGTCCTTTGTGCTCTCGTGACATCCCTCCCCCGGGTAAGTCAGCTTGCTAGTCACCCATTCGTGTGCACTCACAGAGACCACGAAGAAGAAAAAGAGGTTACTTACTGTACCTGTAACTGGTTCTTCGAGTGGTCATCTGTGAATTCACAGTCCTCCCCCCCATCATCCCCTCTGTCCTTTTGGATGCTGGGCAGTGGTGGACTGTTCTACGGAACTGAGGCACTCTGCCAGGGCGAGGTGATAGGCAGCATGTGGGAGGTCCCGGCACCATGTGCTTAAACTCTAGAATATTCCGAGGTTTCTCTGCGCAGGTGCACTAAACCCATTAGTGTGAATTCACAGATGATCACTCAAAGAACCAGAGTTACAGGTAAATAACCTTTTTCCCCCCAAGGGAAAGCATTCCACAACCTAAGAGCTGACCCAGAGAAGGCCCTCTCGCATGTCCCCATCAAGCGCACTTGCCATGGCAATGGGACTAGGAGGAAAGCCTCCTCTGAAGATTTAAGAGTGGAGAACACTCATATGGGGAGATATAGTCCTTCTGGTAGCCTGGTATCAATTTTTAAAAACTGGAATATGTACCTTCATAGGGGGAAATGACGTAAAGTATATTTTCTTGGAAAGACAGGCAAGTACTCTGCCAGCAAGGACCACCAATGAAAAAGCACATTGAAAGGGCAGAAGACATTTATTCATTTGGCGTAAGCAGGATCTATCTCTGTTTCCTGAGATTCACCTTATTTCTTTGTCTTTCCTACTCTTCTATGGTGAAAGTCACCTACTCTGTATCCCCAAAAATAAGACAGGGTCTTATATAAAATTTTGCTCCAAAAACGCATTAGGGCTTATTTTCAGGGGATTTTTTTTTAATGTACAACAATCTACATTTATTCAAATACAGTCCTGTCATCTTCTTCTGGAACATCGTCATGACTCTCCAAACTCCGAATTCCTGCTGAATTTCTTGTGACTATCTATAGGGAGCAGAGGAGTGGCAGTGGTGGTGCTGATGTTGGTGTTAAGGGCCCCAACACAAACCAGCCTCAAACCCCTTCTGCCGCAGGACCAGATAGTTTCTGTCTCATTTCGGGAAAGCACTTGCTTGTTGAGGTGGGAGGAGGATGGGGAAGTATGGATCCCGCTGGTCCACACAGATGAGACGGAGTCAATCTCGGTTGCTGCACAATGAGTCCCTGGTGGAGGGCAAGGTTTCACTTAACTGGGGTTTATTTTGGGGGGTACGGCTTATATTACAAGCATCCTGAAAAATCATACTAGGGCTTATTTTCAGGTTAGGTCTTATTTGGGGGGAAATAAGATATATAAGATACTTATTGTTCTGTGCTCAGAAAGAAGAATTAGAGAGCTACAAGATGCAAACATACCTTTACTCTCTAATGAAACATTTTGGAAAACAGAAAGAAGGAAAGACAGAAAGAAGCACAGTGGGACTTCAAAGACTAACAGATTTATTTTTGCAGAGGTTTTCATCACACTGAAATCCACTTGTTCAGAGAAAGGATATGCAAATACTTGTCCTCTGAACAGGTGAATATATAGATAGTAGGCCAAGTGACAAAAGTTTGTTAGCAAAGGAATGAAACTACCAAACTCTTAATTACTACAACTAGCAGGTCCTAGTCAAGATTTAAAATGCCACAATATTTCCCTCTTTCCCCGCCCCTGAAATTTTGCCATCATGCTGACACAGTCTAACACAGCTATTTAACTGGAAATTGGTGAAACATATACAATAATCACATCATCAGACCTCAAGACAGAGAAGGTATTTTGAAGAGGACCAAAGGACATCAACACGCAAGTCATCGAGAACTGCACATTGGAAAAAGGAGCTACCAGCACCTAAGGACACATTTGATTCAGTAGTGTGTAAGTGCACCCAATATGTGCAAGCTGCCCAATATGTCTGCTTAATAACTAAATTTACATAAACTTACATATTGTGCTCCAAAACAGTGGGAGCAAGGGATAAAGTTCAGAGAATGGTGAGCATCTCACTGAAGAAGTATTGGGTGATTGTGATGACTGATTTGAATATGAAGTCAAAAGAGGTTAAACCAAAGTAAGTAAACATCACTTCTTGACATTTGCAATTTAGAGGCTTCTTATTAAATTGTTATAGAGGCTGTTACTATGTTCTTGCATAGATTGTTCTCCTACAGTCAAACTTCCATGAGCTACTAATGGATGCTATATGATTTCATTACAAAAAATATGAAATCATATAAAACATCCATTAGTAGCTCATGAAAGTTTGACAATGTAGGACAATGTTTAAAAACAATACCCCAAATCCTGTTGCTAAGCATTGTAAATCACATTAAAGTAAACCCACTGAAGCAATCAGGATTGAATGGGCTAACTCCTCCGTAAGTTTCATGAATTCAAATGGATCTACTCCAACTGTAACTTACAGTGCTAAAGGAAGCTGCAGTTAAGAGTGTGCCTATTTGAATCGAACCTATAGAGAAGCTGACTCACTAAATCCCATTGATTCAATGGGCCTACTCTAATGTGACTTACTCCACTAAGCAACAGGATTTGGGGTATTATGTATTAGGGTTTTTAAGGAAATAATGAAAGATGAAAGTAGAGCATTCTTATATTTTTAAAATTTCTCTAAATAAATAGTGTTTACTTCGTCTTAAGTTGAAAATCTTGTTTTTTTTTTTCTTTTACTGTATGAATGGAGACTGCAGCCAAGAAGTCAAAAGACTGAGACTAGGAAGGGCAGCAATGAAGGAATTAGAAAAGGCCATCAAGTGTAAGGATGTGTCACTGGAGACCAAGACCCAGATCATCCACACTGTTGTATTTCTGATCACCATTTATGGGTGTGAAAACTGGACAGTAAAGAAAGCAGACAGGGGAAAATAGAATTATGGTGCTAAAGGAAATTTTTGCAGGTTTCCTGGACTGCCAGAAAGATTAACAAGTGGGTCCTAGATGAAATCAACCCAGAACTATCTCTGGGGGGTTAAAATATTGAAATTGAGGCTATCCTACTTTGGGCACATCATGAGAAGGCAGGATTGTTTAGGAAAGACAATAACGCTAAAGGTGGAAGGCAGCAAAAAAGAGGAAGACCAAGTACATGATAGACTGGCTCCCTAAAGGAAGCCACAGACTTGAGTTTGCAAGAGCTGATCTGGACAGTTAAGGACAGGATATATTGGAAATCTCTGATTCATAGGGTTGTCATAAGTCAGAGGCAACTTGCTGGCACGTAACAACAATAAATATGAGTTGTACTCCACATTACTGCAGAGCCTTTTTATATGTGAGACTGATTATTGCTCTTTCGAGGGAGATGCAAGGAATATTGTCAGGAGAACCTTACTCTGAGAGACTTTGTCAATATGACAGTATTACCCTGGATATTTTTTCATATATCCTGTGTTTTTGCCCTTTTTGTGCAGCTGCAAGAGACCATTTTATTAAATTTTTATTTGATTTATTGGAAATACCATTCTCTGAAGACCTTGTCCCTACACTATTAGAGGATAAAAATCCTTCTTTCTCTTGCAAAATTTGTTGCTCC